TATATATATCACATTTTTCACATCACTGTATCACCGTTTAGACTAATCCGATGTTTGTAAAGTCTATAAATACAATGATTGAACAAACATTACTATTTCTTAGCCGTTAGCGGTGTCTGTAATAGGTAATAACTCATTAAACGGTCCGTGAAAAAAATATTTTTTCCAGCGGATATCTTAGTTACAACATGATTGAGCTAGCAAAGCAGTTTTGTGTTGCTATGTGTGGTAACATTATTTATTCAGTTTTGGGAAACCACGATGTCTAGAAAACATCAGTGGCTGCAGCTGACAGGGACAGCTAACAGCAGCAGCAAAGCTAACATCAGGACGTCATCTGCTAAAAGCCTCCAGTTGTCGGATACGACATGAAACTACTCCAGTTAGCTCAATCATGTTGTAACTAAGACATCCGCTGGAAAAAGATTTTCTTCACGGATGAGCACACGTTTGATAAAACGTAGTTTAATCTCTTGGCATCCATTTTCAAGCTCTCTGTGTGTTTGTTTCCTTGCGGACGAGAAAAGGGGGAGCGCACATTTCCGAGAAGGCGTGTCATTTTCAAAAATGCAAGAGGCGTTGCTTTGTTGCAAGCCATTTTAGCCAGTGTGTTAAACACACTTTAGAAAGGAGAGTCCCCAGACTATCAGAAGGCGGAGATCTCTGATTGTCTGGTGGCGAGACTACTTGAGATGTAGCATCTCCTTTTCAAGGGGGTCCCTGGGACCCTAGGTCTTTTTTGCATTTCCACTACATACCGCACTTTTAAATGTGGGCGGGGTTGCTGTCACTCACTGCTCTGTCTAGCAGTGACTGTATTTCCTCATCACCGGTGGCACAGAGGGAAGACTGCACCTCATTTATTGTCCACAGAACGGGGTTGCACGCGAATATTTTCAGAACAAAATATAACAGGCTGCAGTGAGAGTCTCTCTAAGTGGGATATTTAAAAATAGTGGGTTTGTGCATAAAGTGCTTCTCAGGCAAGTGTGGGTAATGCCGGAGCCCATAGAAACGACGTTACTCACTGCCTTTTTTTATCTCCAAGTGATGATTAGAATATATGCAGTTCACATAATCCTGTCAAAATTAATATATATATTTTAAACTCATGAAGATCCACTTATTACTAAAAGTGTTTGTCATCCAAGAGAGACAATAAAAGACTAAGGGAATGGTCAAAGTTGTTATATTGAAATTTAAGGTGTGCTGATGGAGCTGATTGAGTAACATTACAAGTAAATGTTCCACCTTAAAAGTAGCCAGCAGTCAGCCAAGTAAATTAAGTTATTTTTTTCTCAGTCTACAACTGCTGCCAGATGCAGCAAAACATCCTTTCATTTTATAGTTATAGTTTACTAATGTATGTAAAACTCACTTTGGTATGAACAGTGGTTACATAAGCTTCAAAACCAGCCACAACTCAGCCCTGGGCAAGAGTGACTGTCCTCTATTTCGAACAACTATCTATAGTTCAGTATGTTAAGTATGTTGGTGGTCAAAGCTGTAAAACTCAGTTTAGTAAAAAACTAGCCTATGGAAGCACTGTACATGAATCAGCAATAATCAGCAGCTGATTATTTACCATCAGATTACCACGTCAACAACTGCACCTCCTCCACCGTCCCCCTGCTTAAAGGTGTCCCTCAGGGGTCGGTGCTTGGTCCTCTCCTCTTCATCATCTACTTACTCCACCTTGGTTCTATCATTCATCATCATGGTCTCCATTTCCACCGCTACACTGACAACATCCAAATCTACATCTCCACAAAATCCATCACCCCGGCCACCTGCTCTACCCTCACCAACTGTCTGACTGAACTCCAATCATGGCTGCAAGCCAACTTCCTCAAACTGAACTGTGACAAATTGAAATAATACTCATCAGCCCAAAATCCCTAAGTAAGTAAGTAAGTAAGTAAGTAAACTTTTATTTATATAGCACCCTTCATAGTAAGCGTACACAGAGTGCTTAACAGTACAAACAATAAGACCATAGTTCAATCAGTCACAATAAACGTGCAACCGAAACATTCTAGAAAACATACACACAGGCATATGGCAATGCACGGTCAGTGCATGTAGAAGCATGTAATAAAATACATAAATAAATAAAAATAACAATAAAACATGATCACATGGCACTGCAAAGCCAGAGGAAATAAGGTAGACAAGCTGAGAGAACAACAGAAAGCGGCAGATAAAACAGTGGATACGGCCTAACAATCAAAAGCTAGTCTGTACAGGTGAGTCTTTAACTGACACTTGAAGCTATCAATCAACACATCAACACAAAAATTCACCCTCAGCATTGACAATACCACCCTCTCTCCCTCCCCATTCATCCGCAACCTTGGTATCATCTTCCACAATAACCTCTCATTTGAACATCACATCAGCCGCCTCGCCCAAACTGCCTTCTTTCACCTCAGAAATATTGCCCATCTCCGTCCATTACTCTCCTTCTCTGCCGCTGAAACTCATCAATGCTTTCATCACCTCAAGACTGGACTAATGCAACAGCATCATCATCCAAAGTCCTCAACAAACTTCAGTACATCCAGAACTCTGCTGCTCGCCTCCTCACCCACACCCGCTCCCGTGAACATATAACCCCTGTCCTGCAAAACCTACACTGGCTCCCTGTCCCGTACAGAATCAGTTTCAAGATCCTCCTCCTCACCCACAAAGCCCTCCACAGCCAGGTCCCCTCCTACCTCACGGAGATGCTCCACCACCACACTCCCTCCCGCAACCTTTGATCATCCAACAAAAACCTCCTCTCGCCTCCACACAGGACCAAGCACCGAACCTGGGGCGACAGAGTGTTCTCCATAGCCGACCCCTCCCTCTGGAACACCCTCCCTATACACATCCGTGACTTTCCAAATCCATCCACCTTCAAATCACTCCTCAAAATCCACCTTTTTAAATCTGCTCCAAATGTTATACTCAAACCCACTAAAGTCTTTACATGCCGCAAAGTTCACAAGATTAAAAAATAAATAAACACAGCAGTGTTGTCCAAAATATTGATTTATCGATACATAACGATTCTGAGTATATAAAACGGTTTCAATACTCTTTTTCTGCAGTATCAATACACCGGTAGCAGCTGCATTCGCTTGCTCTTTTTTATTTTATGTTTACTACATTCATTTTGCTGTTCTCCAATACTTACCAACAAAAAAAATGTCGTTTTTATGTCATAGCCTTGTTACATTTATCTTTTCAGAGAAAATTTAAATTTTATGCCTCCAAAGTCAGTTTCCCCCCCATTGAATCGAAATGGTAATCATTTTCAAGGTATTGTATCAAAGTTAGAAATTCCAGTATTGTGACCACAGTAAAACACAGTAACTAAGGAAGCGAAGCTTACAGTAGGAACATGTCATTATGATACATGGTTTAACACAGCAGTACCTGCAGGTAGAGACCTTCAATGTTTACCTTCATTCTCACTAAAAGTTTATCAGAATTTCTCAACAGTGGATTAAATAATGGGCATGCGAAACATCTAACATTTGTTCTACATTCAAACTAGCAGCTGACAAAGCTTAGTGGTGGCTAAGTTAGCTATATCTGCAATGCCAGGGATGGGCTGGAATCCTCCAACCTTTCTTTAGTCATCCATGCTGTATGTCTATTTCTTGGGCAAAGTGCGATTCTTCAATTGCCTTATCTATTGGCTTTATGTAAGTTGGTGAAACACTTTCTTTTCAGAAAAGCATTTTTGGCAAGATTCTGTGCTGTTACAACATATTAACAACAAAAATGCCAACAGGCAGCAGCAATACACTAAGGTAAGAAATTCTAACATGACATGCATGCACAAGTACTCACAGTCTTCCCCCACTGGTCCAGCGGAGCACTGTGCAGGAGGGTCTCTCTGCAAGTCATTCAGCTCCTGCTCAACACAGCAGAAACACCCTGTTAGTTATTCACCTCAATGGGCACTGATCAAACATAAAACTGCTTTTTTTTTTTTACTTAAGCAGGAACTTGAGATCACATTTGACTCCAACTACTGTGATGTACTCCCCTGGTTTTCCTGTTGATGACTGAAGGTTGAGTTTCTGTAAGTGATGCTGCTCTCTTAATGATTAATGCTGATAATATCTTCACATTTTTCTTTTTCTATTTCACACAAGCCATAAAACTAAAGCCTAAAGTTTTATCAGATAACAGTAAAAAATTGATGGGAAAATTGTAAGTAAGTGGACCCTGAGTTAAGACTTCTTTTTTTACGCAATCTCACACCAATAAAATTGCCGCCTTTTTTCCCTTCCACAATGTTCTCCTTTCTTCCAACAGATGTTAGCTTAGCTTACTTCTATATTTAAAAAAATGTAACAATAACAATTTGTCATATTTCGTGAAACTGTCACTGTCGCTGACAGATAATCTGTGAAGAAACCAACATGGTTCCTCTGGCTCTGCTTCTGATGGCATTTGCAAGAATCCACCATGCCTGAATAAAAACAACCAATCAGAGCCAGGAGTATCACAGCACTACAGAATTTATATTATCAGTCAGAATGACCCTTAAAGAAATGACAATGGCAGGGTTACTGTTGGTTGAACAAACATTTTATTACTAAAAGTGAAACTTGAAACCATTTTGTTAATATGAGTATGTGTAAAAAGTCTCCCCTTTAAAAATAGCTAACATAAAGGGGAGATTCAACATCCAGTTGCATTTTTTTCAGTATCGTAGATAAGCAAATGTACAGGGTATGATAAGCGACAACTTTTGTCACGGTATACCTTGAAACTAACATATCATTGCAACCCTTGTTCTATATAAAAGGTAGGCTATAATAGCGGAATTGGGGAAGAGTTGTCTCGTTTTCAAGTTGGCAAAGTAGCAACAGCGCTGCAACAGTGTGTACATGACAGCCAGCGGGAAGGGATCATGGGCAACACAAGTGTGACGTTTTGAAAACATTTTATGTGGACAACCCACCAACAACAGATTTAAAAAGTAGCTGTTAGCAATCAGCAGCTAACTCAAAGAAGAACAGCAGATGAAAACATCTGCAAATTGGGAAAAAGATGAGGTCCAGGCAGGAGTTCCTTACCCTCCGAGCAGAGGACGAGATCAGTTGCCATATAACAAAGATGGTAAATGATTGTTATTGTCATGTTATGCCATTCTTCCTGTTTAGAAAAATGTTTCCAAGGGGAATGTTATATGTCACACTAGAGGCTGAGGCTGTTTTGTTCCATGACCCGCCTCTTTTGCCTCCGTGATACCAGCATGCTGTCTAAAATTACACACTGGAGCAGAATGATGTCACAGTTGTTTGGTTCTGTGTAAAAATGTAGAGCCGCCATAAAGAAGGGAATACCACCATCTCTGTGTAAAAAGAGCTCTTGCCTGATAAATGTCAATATCTTTCCAAAACCCCAGTTTTTCAGACAGGCTTGCTGTTATTAATTAACAAGCCCAAACAGAGGTATCCCTGACATCATTTGACAAAAACTTTACACAAACTTCCTGCTAATATTCTGTTCACTATTTGAGATACTGTACAATTTATCAGTTGTTTTACACTGACTTTGTCAGGGGTTGAGAGTTTACTCAATGACAGAAAAGAGGTCCTTTAAAGGAAAAAGGTTGGGAACCACTGCACTAGGCAATCACAAAGCATTTACAGCAAGAAAAATATGGCAGGGTAATGTGAGATCGCAAATGTAAGTAATAACAAGTTAAGATAACAGTTCATAATTAACAAATATCTGCAGCATCAGCAGGGTACAGGGTACCAAATGACTTTGGGTGTGGTGTTTAAAAGAATGATTAGTTCCATAGGGATATTGACCTGTAATAGTTTTTACAGTGCCACTTCACCAAATACCACACATGCCTTATTGATGTTTCAGTGAGAAATAACTATCCCAAGAGGCCTACACCTTCCCTCAGCCATCCCTCCCTAAGGTTACCTCCTGGTTGGAAAGGAATTTTATGAGGGAGTAGGAGCGCCTTCAAGATCTTCCCTAGGAGCTCTACCTATGTTAAAGCTTTCATCAAGTGCGCACAATTAGCTGAATCATTGAGTTTTATCGCATCATTGTTATTTCCTACTTTCCAATGCAAATCTTGGCCTTCATTAGGATTTGAGGTTGTCTGGTGATAGCTGATGCGTCCCTGGTGTCTGTCACCCTCTAACATTCTACTGAGGCAGTTCCCCCTGACAACACTACTCAAATAGCAGAGATAACTTAAGATGCACAAACGAACAAGCAGATAGAAATTAATGGTATATTGAACTGAGAAGTAACTTCACTGGTCACTGCAGTGCTCTTCTACCGCCAAGAGGACAGGTACAACAGGACTGCTGTCCAATTACTACTTAGACAAGTTACAGGACAGAGTGACAGCTTCAAAAACAGTGACAGCTTGACATGGAGGCAGCCTAAACAGTTACTAAGCTCGCTAAATTGTTAGCACGAAAACATGAAACTTTGAAGTTGTCATTAGCTGCTATATCTGTTTTGGGAGTTGACAACAAACAGATTATTTCAAAAAACGTTACGAAGTTAGCCAGAAGTTGCTTTAATGCAGAGATAGCGTGAAAAACGTTGTTAAAGAACCTTTCTGTGGAAATAAACTCTCAGCTGGGCCAGTTAGCTACCGTTAGCTGGCAACCATAGCTAGTCAGTCAAATTTACCTTCTGTATTCTTTTCAGTGCCATATTGACTGATGCAGTTTGCTCCTCAACCTACGACGACTGGCTCTTTCTTTCAATTAAAATATTATTGCCGGCGAAGTCAATGGCTGTAGTTTATTCCCTGAGTACTTCGACAGCCGGGGATGTGTTTGTGTTTTTATAAAAACCTCTTTTGTTTCCGCTTTCTCCTTTTTACGGCCGCTTCTCCCAAAGTGGATTATGGGAAACGTAGTTCTGAATATTGCAATTTGTTGTGACGGGATTTATATCAATGAGAATGCCATTAGAAGTCATTGAAGTCACAGGTTCTGTTTTATTTTTTGGAAATTATCACCTTTTATCATGTTTAAGGCACAGGTAATAAGTAGTTTTGCTTTCAAAATACTCTAAAATGCTCAAATGAATGGGTAGTAAGTAGTTTTAAGTAGTTAGGTTAATTTTGATTTTTTTTTTAAATATACGTTTATATACTAAAAGTTACGTTATACACGCGCGCACACGCACGCACACACACACACACACATACGTACGCACACACAAAACACATACATCACAAAGACACACACCGTTGGTGAGCCTGTGTCTCTCTCATGCTGTGTTAGCAGGTACAATATCAGAGGTGTCACTAATCGTNCGTGCGCTCAAGGCGTCGGCCTGGCCTTAAAATTACCCAGATCCCAATCTAATCTAGCAGCGGTGGAACATGCCGGTACCTCAAAGCCCTGATTTACAGTGGGGCTTCCTTGAATCAGACATGCCTCTGACCTGTCGAGGCATGGACAAAGGACCTCTGATGCCCTTTTCGACCAACATGGACCCCAGTTCCCTCACATAATTTTTAACCACTCAGAGCATTTCAACTAAAAAACTGATTCTGGACCTGAAAAGTTGGTTCTCATCTGGATCAAAACATAGCAAGTTTTTAGTGACCTGAAGTGTAAATCATGACATCAGTGGGCATATGATATTTTACAGGTTAGAAAGAGAGGATAGAGAAGGCAACAATGGAGAAGTCAAGTGAGAAATTGTCAAAGAGCTTGCATTGGTTTTATTGATAGTTGGTCCATGCTTGTTTTTTCGGTAAAAACAAATATCTGTGCTGAAAGTGTGCAGGTTATCAATTTTATTTTGCAATTTTGCTACTATTGCTACTTCTGTTGTTCATATAAATACATACATACATACATATATGTATATGTATGTATGTATGTATAAATACATACATACATACATATATGTATATGTATGTATGTGTTTATATCTATATATATAGATATATACACACACAAACACACCTTGTATTAATGTATTCAAGGTGATGATGCTAACAGATCAAACTTGGTGTGGATGGTAGACTACGCCAGCATTGTTTACTTTTTATGTATTGCCTACTTAGCATCACAGCAATTTTTAAGCATTTTTCTAGGCATTCATGGGTTTTCATTCATTTCCTTGCAGTATGCTATATTAACATACTCTTAAACGTGCCTGAGCTTTGAAAATCCATAGCTGACACAAAATCTGCATTAATTTCTGCCAATGTTAGATAATCACTACTGCAGTTTAGTTGCACATTGATTTGAAAAGTCTGCACTGATTTACTTTGCAAACAGAATGCACTTGCAGAAATTAATAGCCAGGAAAAAAAACATCTGAAAATCTCAAACATACATTTAGCATATTTTCTTAAGTATACATGATGAATTGTATTTAAGGAGCTAAAGCTTTAAAAAAAAAAAAACAGTAGTCTGAGTGTAATTTGTCAGTCATCCAACAGGTGGTGCTGTTTATGAAGATTCCAGTTGGTGCCTGACAATAAAAATTGAGTCAAAGTTGACGATTTTCGGGAGTGCCTAAAAGAGTGCATCACTCCATTGCTTCATCTCTGTCTACAACATAGCCAGCATGAAGTGATGATTGTATCCACAAGCCTACAAACCATACAAGAGTTTTCAGATAGTCACGCTAAAAAGGGATGAAAAAATATTCATCCATCCACCCTGCACAGATCAGCAATCTATCAAATTCAAATATGTCCTGAGGACATGCAAACACAGTGAGGATGTCAAAATACAGAAATTACTCAGTAAATAGGTTTGGACCCATAAGCACAATCCAGACACCAAGCAGAATAAACTGAAAGTTAGACTTTACTTATTCATCAAAAAAAAACAGGCAGAAGTCAGGACCAGACAGGCAGGCAAATACAGGCTGACTTCCCAAGACAGACAGTCAGGCAGGCCAAATTGCTTGAACACTTAATGAGAAAGATATAAAACAAATATGTATACTGCAGGGCTGATGAGGGATGTGGGAACAGGTGAGAAGGTGGGTGGGGCAATCAAGTGCTGGGGAACAGGGTTTACTGCAGGTCAGGAGGAAGTGACAGGGCCAAAACAAGTTAGTGTTGCAGGGAAACAAGATTGGGAGAAACTAATGACATGAATCATGCCGGTGTTGTGATAAAATAAACAAAATACCAGAACTAAAAGTCAAACCTAAGTCCATTGGACAGCAGGGCAACTAATCCTCATACATACTCGGTGTACACCTATTGACATTATAAGCAAAAATGTACAACATACTTCATGATGAAAGTGAAAACGGTTCATTCTTTACCTCAGAAATAGTAGATTTTGGCACAACTGGCTAACTGATTTATCCAGCGAAAGCTACAACCAAAGTTTTTATACTTCCATGATAGACAGGGTCATCATAGTTTGGGGAAAAGTGGGACTGATTCCCCAGAGCCCCAATGGAAGGGTGGGCCTACAAAAAGCCTGGAATGAAAAGTTTGGTTTTGTTTGCATTTTTTTATTTCTAAGTAATGAGTGCCTTAACTAAATTAAAGTTGGGTGTGTGTGTGTGTGTGTGTGTGTGTGTGTGTGTGTGTGTGTGTGATACCATCTTGTGTCAGCTTCCCAAAGTATTTTTGTATTGTTTTTCTGCTTTAATCATTCAGTATTTTTATCTGTTCTTAGTTCTCATTCTCCAGTACCCTTTAGACACCTGTCTCTATCTTGAGTAAAGATGGGTGGACTGTGAAAATGCAGGGACCATTATAGATAACACAGATGACGTCAAGACTACAGCCCACTGAGATCTGGGTCTCTACATTCAACTTATATAATATAAACAGATATCCTTTGCCAAATGAGAGAAGTAATGCTGGCATTCGTACATTCTGTGAGACAGATGTGGGCCCACAGCATAAACACTCTCATTATGTTGTTATGAGCAAAAGCACAGACTGGACAGCACTTAATTTCACTGTAAACTGAGCTGCAATCTGTTTACTGATCGCACTATGTGTTTATGGGACTTTAGGCCAATAAAAGTGATAGCATGAACTTTCAAGAGATAAATGTAATTGTCAGTGCAATTAGGGACATGGGCCTGTCTGGAATTATGGGGGGGGGGGGGGTCAGGGGGAATAATTTCATATCAGGTCCTCAGATAATTAGTTCTATATGCATGAAGCTGAATTTTGATAAAACAGCATTTCACAGTCAATTTGTCATTCATTTATTTATTTATACATAAATATATATAATATACATTTGGGAGAATCCAAGAAATAATCCGGTATCCTACTGATACCAATTAACTATTATAACACTGAGGATTTTTTTGTAAGAAAAGGTTGTCTTTGATACTAACAGACCAGAATTGAATAGTTTTTATTTGGAGGGCACGATAATATCAGCATGTCATCAATACAGGCCGATACTGACCTTAAAATGATCTATCAGAATATGCTTTTTCTTATTTTGCACAATGAATGAATATTACATACACTGAAAAGCATTCTATTTCATGTGTCCATCTGCTGGTGGGCCATCACGATAAGAGTATGCGTGCATAATATAATGTTAATTCCACTACGAGAGACACTTGATTATCACTAAAATTAGCTGAAGGTATCATTATTGGTTATCGGCCAAATAAGCTTACTCATGCATTCCTAGTTTTTTATAGTATATTCAAAGATTTTATAGCTTACATAGAAAAAGCATATAGTTTTGTTTTAGATAGCTACTGACCATTAAAAAAAAAGAAAAAAAAAGAAAACCATGACACAGATATGTTTGCCTTTTTGAGGACATATTTAGCAAACAGCATTGTTTTTAAATGAATAATATTCTTTTTTTTTAATCATTTATGTTTTAATACGGGTATATTTCCAAGGTGGCAATCTGAATCACTTGCAAGGGCCCACTCTCTCTACAGGCCCCTCCATCCAAGGAAGATTACCTTCAAATGACAGCTGGACTGTGGTGGTATTACTATTGTGAATAGCAACAAGAGCAAAAGGCATCAGCTATCATCGATAGGAGGCACAGACTGACTATAATATTGTTTGTGTATGTTTCTGTCCTGTCCTTGTCAGGTTTCACATAGCAATTCATTTTTTTGTGGACCAACGCATAGCTTTTGTATGCAAAGTTTTCTTTGATATCATTTTTTCCAGCTGGCGCTCAGTAACATAATGTTAGTTCTTCATGGTTCTCACATGCAATGTGATTGGCTTCTGACTGATTGGTTCAAAGTAGATTATCTGGGGAATTAAGTGTCAATTTGCTGGGAATGGGAATTAATTGATTCAGGAAATCAATTGATTAATGGCACACTTTTTAAATAACATACTTTTTAATATTTGGGCTTTGGGGGAAATATCAAGTAGTTTCAAGTCAAAAGGCATAAGTCCTAGTCTGGAGTCATTCGTGTTTAAGTCCAAGTCGAGTTGCAAGTCTTTTTTTATATATTTATTTTTTGTCAAGTAAAGTCATTGAATTTGTGACTCGAGTTTAAGCTGAGTCAAAGTCATGTGACTCCAGTCCACACCTCTGCTGTCATGACTTGTCACCAGAGATGGGGACTTGAGTCATTGTGACTTGGACTCGAGTCAACTTGAGTCGCTGTTTTGATGACTTGTGACTTGACTTGACAAAAAATAAAAGACTCGAGACTTGACTTGGACTTGGAAGTTAAAGACTCGGGACTTGACTTGACTTGAGACACGATGACTTGAATGACTTGAGTGTTATTCACATTATGTTTTCAGTTAGAATATAAAATTAATAAACTAATTTAAAAAATAATGTCGATTACCCGGTAGGAGCGCAGGCTTAGAATGGCGTTGTCATGATTGGATCACTACCCTGTCAATCAGTCATGCCCTCTCTATGTACCTTACGTGTTTACTGGAGAAACACGCCCTCTTATATCAGATAGGCATCAACATGTCAGCGGGGGGGTACCGCGAGTAATTTATTTATTTAATTTATACTAATTTATTTGCTAACATTAACCCCAGAAAACGTGAGTGAACATTCTGACCGGTTTATCACAAGACCGGCTGGACATTTTATGAACGAGCAACACGGGATTAAATGAACTAAATGGGTGATTTTGGCCGCTGCCTTGGTTAGTGTGTGTGTGTGTGTGTGTGTGCATGCGTGCGCGCGCGCGCACACGCATGGGGGTTGTCCCTGCAAAGTAAACATTGCAGCAATGAAGTCACCTAAAATTTGGTTAAAACTGAGTAACCCAAGTAACTGTTGAGTTAGTTGTAAAGTTGAGCGAATACTGTTTGAGATGGACTAAATGAAGTAATGGTTTTAAAATTGAGTAATTATTACATGCTAAAACACTAGTAAACAAAGTAGATATTGCTTAAAAACAGATCATGACATAAATATGGGTTTAAAACTTAGCAAAGTAAGTAAATATAATTTAAAATGGAATAAATATGTTAAAACAGTACATGAAATAAATAAGATTTTAAAATGAAGTAACTTCTAGTTAAAAACAGCATATGAAGTTGATTTGGGTTAACAGCTGAGTCAATGAGGTGTAATAATAGCTAAGATCAGATTCTCCAAGTAAAATTACAATAATAAGGTGACTTGACTTGGACTTGAATTGACCTATTACAGGACTTGACTTGACTTGACATAACCTGTGACTTGACTTGACTTGACCTGACTTGCCCAAGAAAAAATGACTTGGGACTTACTTGAGACTTGAAGGTTAAGACTTGAGACTTACTTGAGACTTGCACATGTGTGACTTGGTCCCATCTCTGCTTGTCACTGTTAAGTAGTGGTGACATGATACCATATGTTACATTAAAACAATAATAAATCGGTAAATGTTTAATGTCACAGTTCAACATTCCTGGTCATCTGCTCTTTTCTACTGTGTCACCCAGCCCTCGGTCACAAATTTTCCATTCAACCTGGTTTTCTGTGTCATCTCCTCAAGGCAACTCATTTCACCTGTTCCTCATTACTCACAGCCAGTATGCACCCCAGCCTCACTGACACTCACTGCTAGGCTCTTCTTCTCCACTCATGCAAGACTCTCCAGCACTTTTTTCCAGGCTCATTCCAGATGCCGACCCTGCCTGCCTCTGACCTGCCTGCCTCATCTGAGACCCTGAGATCTGCTTCTGCATCCTTGGTACCTGTTTGCCTGTGCCTCTAACATCTCACATTTTTTTTTAACATTTCATCATCTGATACTGGAGGTTCCATCCCACATCATCACTGATTCCTATGGTGTAATCTTATGAACACCCCAGAACAATCAAACTGTTATGTAATTGACTGTGCTACAATGTACAAGTTCATTGAACACCCAAATGCCAGAAGTCTCATCTGAAACAGGGCATTTACCAGGCTTACACAGTAGCGTATAAGTAGGCTACATAATCCCTGATCCTGACATAGTGTGACTTTGCTCAGTGCTGATCCCAGTCCTCTATTTGCCGAATAAACTAAAACACTAATATCTTCCTTAAAAGTCACATGCTTATTACATGCTTGTTAGGCCTGGGTGTCTGATGCTTCAGCCCTGAATATTTTATGAATAGCCCCAGATAAGAGTAAAAATATATAAAAATAAGAGTAAGTCAATAATAATAACAATAATAATAATAAAAAACAAAAGCCCTAGATCTAATAATGTGTCATTTCATGCATGCAGTAAAGCCCTGATAATAATTGTATTGTTGATCAAAAGAGCAAGTTTTGGGTCAAAGCAGTGCATTTTGCGCAATCATGTGCAAGAGAGAGAGAGGGCACTGGTAACCACTTTAATGTTGCAGCTGGTAATGGTGGAGCTCTTCTTTAAATGCTTTATATACTGCTGGGTGGTTTAGTGTAATCTTAGTTCTAAGTACCTAAAGCAGACAAATAAATGTTGTGGATTAAAAAGTATGTTTCCCTTTGAGATCTAGTGGAGTAGAAGTATAAAGTAGCATAAAATGGAAATACTCATATACAAGCAACCCAAAGATATCTAAATTTTAATGATAACAGTTGCAAAGTAGCCTATTGTATTTCTACTCAATACTAATTACTGACAACTACTAATATATAATTAATCCATAAAATAATATAAAAACTTTTAAGGGTAGATAAAATGCAAGTGTGCATAAAAAAAGCATCAAAATAAAGCTACTAGAAACGCCCGTGGGTCACACTGTGTTTATTTAGTCACATAGTAAAGATAAGGGTCAACAGTGAGAAGGAACGAGGCACCTAATGGATACAAATGGGCACAACAAATAGGCCAGAAATACCTATTTCACGCATGCACAGCGAATGCAAAACTAGTTATGGCACGGCTGCTGCCGCGCAGGTTTGTTTTGCGACAGTGATGGCAAGTGTCGCAAACGTGTGGGAGGCTTTGGGCGCTGTTCGTTACGTAGAAGGCAGCCGCCTACACTGACCTGGATATCTGCAGCTGAGGAGCATTCTACCGACCTGTTTTGATAGCATGGATTTTAGGACGAGAATGCAGCGTTTTTGTTCTCATCTCCAACGGATAGGCCTTCGTCTTGAAGGCGATTGTACAGCAAGTGTGATGCCCCTCTGATCTGCTGAACAGTGACGCGAAGAGGGGATGGCTTCGCAACCCGATGGACAGTATCGATGACTTAGCAATCAAAATAAAGGCTGGATAGCCTCTGTGTGCAATTTTGAGGCTTTATTGTCTGCACTCGCTCCACTTGCTTCTGCATTTCCTGAGTGGAACTGGATACTATTCTTGAGTGTGTCGTAACATCACCGTTACCGACAACAGTGTATACTTCTTTGGAGCAAGGAAGTGGAGCTGGTGGGTCAGGCTAGCAGAACTTATTGAAGGAAAGACCGGAGGTTGGGTGACTTTGCCGTTACAATAAAGGTGCCAAATAGATATGTTTGGATTTTGATTACGGGCTTTTGGGATAGGACAGTAACGTAAAACTTGGACAGAACGTCAACGGAATTGTTTTACTAGTCACGGAGATCTCCGCCTTCGCTGTTATTGTGCACACTGCAGCGTAACACGGCTACTTTCGTTTTATTTTGGAAGCTCCGAACGGAAGTCGTTCCTGGTGGTGCGGGAGTTGATGCTTGTAGGAAGTGGGATGTGGTTAGAACGTATTTACGCTTCTGCCTAAGATATGAAAATCTTTGAATTAGCGCTGCTTCGGGAGCCCTGTTTCACCACCGGTCACAGCGGGGGTTACGGTGGCGTTGCTGTCAGTCATTGTGGTCATTGTCGGTTGTCAGAAACGGCGAACACGACCGAAGCTGCTGTGCTGGTTTCTGCTGGACTGGACCACTTCCATGAGGGCTTCTCAACCTCACGCCCTAAAATTTTGAGTGCGGGGCTGTATTCTGAGCTTACGTAAGAACAGTATGTGAATTGATACAGTCACATTGTTGACTTTTTTTATTTTATTTTATTTTTTTCTTGGACGAAGACTTTGTGCTTTTCCCCCCCTTTTTATGCATATTTGTTGCAAATGTCAACAACTCAGCGTCAAGTGATGATGGAGTCCTCTCTAGCTCTCGGAAGACTGGAACTGACCTCGAGTTCAGGCGCTGTTGGGGTCAGCCTGACCCCGCGACTCTCTGGCGGGCTCCAGGCTAAAGAGAAGTGCGGTCAGCGGCCACTGGGGCCACAAGGCCAGGCTCACCTGAACGGCTGCGTCCCGTTGTCACATCAGGTGGCAGGTCACAAGTACGGAGTGGATACCGTGGGTAAGTAAACTGGACAAGATACCTTTTCTTAACTATGATCAGAACTTATGTCAAAAAACATGACGTCCTTTAGGGACTGTTCTTTACTTATCAGAGAAGAGGGGTGGCTGAAGTGTGACTTTGTTTTGGTTTTTTTTTTGTATGTTTGTTTTTCCCCAAAGCTAGAATATTTTTGCTTAAGCCCCCTTGAGTAACTAGAAGAAAAAAGCATGACTCTCCCGCCAACATAAATTGGTTTTTACTTAAGAAAAAACAAAACAAAACAAAAAAAACCCTTACCATATGATGTTTAAAAGTTAAGACTTGAAGATAAAATTCTGGAGTTAAAAAAGGCTTGATTTTTCACTCTTGTGATGAATGCTGGTTAGTTTGTGCAAATGGCTTAGTTTTGGCCAAATTTCAAATGAGACATAGAATTAAGAAAAAAAAAAGGGCAGCACAGTGGTGCAGTGGTTAGCATTGTCGCCTCATAGTAAGAGGGCTGCCAATTAAAACCTCTGAGTGGAGCTTGCATGTTCCTTCCGTGTCAACGTGGGTTTTCTACGGGTACTTCGACTTCCTTCCACAGTCCAAAGGTGACTTGAAATTGACGGTGGGTGTGAATGAGAGCACGAATGGTTGTCTGCCTACATGGGTCAGCCCCGTGGTAGTTGGAAATTTAAAAATCCAAGGATAATTTCTGTTTTTTAAGTTTCTGGGTTCAATAAATGGTATTGTTTTGGCAGTTAAAAAAACATGCCTTTGGAATGCATGCTTTCTTTAAAACTTGGCGGTAAACAAATACAAAATATACAATTTAAATTTGTATTTCCTACCTGTAAGCCAAGATTAAAAAAAAAAACATAAGTCCCTCTCCGGTGCTTATAAAATAATTTGACATGCCTTCCCGTTTTTGCACCCCCACCCCCCAGTAAGTAATGGACAGTCCCTTGCTCAATTTTTTAATTAATACCTGACAACTAAATGTTCCTTTGTTACACATGACCAAGAACTTTATATGATATGTTTGGATACAGTGGGAAATTTGGCCTACAAATAACCCACCAACAATTTCTCATCATCTTTCATTTTTCTTTAAGCTGTGTGCACCTGCCACTAATGATGTATTACTGATAAAAGTTTATGGGACGTTAAATTAAGTGAAAGATGATGTTTGTGAAAAAACAATTCAGACAATATCTCAGCTCTTGCCTTAGCAAGTATGTCATCAAGAACAGCACATAAGGAGATTTAGTAATAGGAGTTTGACATGGTGATTTTCAGCATGCACCTGTGGATATGAGATAGATTATTTTTCTCTCTTTCACTACTAATCTACACCAACCACATCTTCATATGTGGGTCCCTCCACTAAATCTGATCAAACAAAGATAATTTGTGGATTTGTAACCATTACGTCCCTGCTCCATGGTCTCTCTTTAGTCTTCAGTGGCACACACTCATGCACATGCACACAGGACACCTGACATTATTAAAGCCTCCATTGTTTGTTATCAGGTGAGGCGTTGGGTTGAATTGATTGTGCATGACACAGTCAGTAGCTGGTGATAGTTACAGTACCTCTCACAGGGATGAGTCATTGCCGGTTAGTCAGTTACCTCGGTGAATTGCATGCTCCTGGAAGACATTTCTCTATATTGTGGGGCAGGCATTCTCAAGAATGCCCGGTGGCCTGCCCTGCAGTCCTCCAGGATGCACCCAGGACAAACCTGTCTACCCACAAGTTTTTTGTGTGTTGAGTGTTTTACCTGAGCTATTTTGATGCAGTGTACACATTGTTTCCCTAGGCGTGTGATCAAACATTTACTTTCTTTCCATGTTGTTCATCTGTAAACAAAAGTTTCCTGTCTCTACCTGTCTGTCATTATTATGGTTTATTAGCTCCGGTTTTAGTCTCAGCTAATAATGCTCATTATCTGTCATTACTTCATGAGCTCTTTGTGACATCAGAGACTATAAATAAATTCACTGTATTGCTGCATGACCTGCTGTCAGTTAGTGGAATGTAATTCTCCTATGTGGGTTAATTTGTATTAAGTCAGTGCGAACACAAAATGGAGCAGTACTATAAGGCAATGATTTATCGCTTTTTCTAGCATTCAAATAAGTTAACTGATTACATGATTTAGAGAAAATTAAAAATGTCTCCTCTTTGTAATATGCTTTGTTTTACATTTGAATTAAGGGGTCCAATGAGTAAAGTAGGTTGCACTGATACCAGTTTGATACCTCAGCTCTCCTTTTCCTAAATTTAAAATGTGTGTACATTCATTCATTGTGCAAATTAAGAAAGAGCATGCTGGCTGATTCTGAGAATTCATTTTAAAGCCGGTATTGGTCGATACCGATGACGTGCTGATATTATTGCGCATCCCTAATGTCTGCCACATCTGAATTAACAGAAAATTCATGTACAACCACACATTTATTAAAGGTCTCGTTTTGTGAAAAGTTAGGATGTACGTCCCCACATGACTGCTGGAGGCTGAACAGCCTTTGGCCGCTGTCAGAGTGAAGCTCAGTTGATAACGATAGTTTGTGAAATGTCCTATTAGAGTGCCTTACCAAAAGAAGTATTTATGTCATTGTGACAGCACCTGTTCTGACATCTTAACACTTAATATTCACTTCAACTTCAATCAGTGTCTTATTTCTGCTTTCTTCTCATAATGGTGATGGCACCTGTTATGACAATCTTACATGCAATTAGGGTTGCAGCAATATACTGGTTTCAAGGTATACCGTCATATAAAAGTTGACAGTTATCATACCATGTACATTTGCTTACAGTCAGGTCCATAATTATTTGGACAATGATACAGTTGTCATCATTTTGGCTCTGTACACCACCACAATGGGTTTTAAATGAAACAATGAATACCTGCTTAAAGTGCAGACTCTCAGCTTTCATTTAAGGTTTTTTTCAAAAATGTAGTATGAACCGAGTAGGAATTACAACCATTTCTTCACACAGTCCCCCAACTTTAAGGGCTCATAAGTATTTGGACAAACTAACATAATCATCAATTAAACAGTCAGTTTTAATACTTGGTTGCAAATCCTTTACAGTCAATGACTGCCTCAAGTGTTGGACACATAGGCATCATCAGATGCTGGGTTTCTTCCCTGGTGATGCTCTGCCAGCCCTTTACTGCAGCCGTCTGCACTTCCTGCTTGTGTTTTGGGTGTTTTGCCCTCAGTTTTGGCTTCAGCAAGAGAAACGCATGCTCAGTTGGATTCAGGTCAGATGATATGACTTGGCCATTGCAGAACATTCCACTTCTTTGCCTTAAAAATGTCTTTGGTTGCTTTTGCAGTATGCTTCAGGTCAATGTCCATCTGCACTGTGAAGCATCGTCCAATGAGTTTTGAAGCATTTGGTTGAATCTGAGCAGATAATGGTGCCCCAAACACTTCAGCTTTCATCCTGCTGCTCTTGTCAGCAGTCACATCATCAATAAATACAAGAGAACCAGTTCCACTGGCAGCCATACATGGCCATGACATAACAGTACCTCCACCATGCTTCACTGATGAGGTGGTGTGCTTTGGATCATGAGCAGTTCCTTCCCTTCTTCCTTCTCTTGTCTTCCCATCATTCTGGTAGTTGATCTTTGTTTTATCTGTCCATAGTATGCTGTTCCACAACTGTACAGGCTTTTTAGATGGTTTTTGACAAACTCTAATCTGGCCTTCCATTTTTAAGGCTAACCAATGGTTTGCATCTTGTGATAAACCCTCTGTATTTATTCTAGTGAAGTCTTGTCTTGCTTACAAGAGCAGCAGGATGAAAGCTGAAGTGTTTGGGGCACCATTATCTGCTCAGATTCAACCAAATGCTTCAAAACTCATTGGACGATGCTTCACAGTGCAGATGGACATTGACCTGAAGCATACTGCAAAAGCAACCAAAGACATTTTTAAGGCAAAGAAGTGGAATGTTCTGCAATGGCCAAGTCATATCATCTGACCTGAATCCAACTGAGCATGCGTTTCTCTTGCTGAAGCCAAAACTGAGGGCAAAACACCCAAAACACAAGCAGGAAGTGCAGACGGCTGCAGTAAAGGGCTGGCAGAGCATCACCAGGGAAGAAACCCAGCATCTGATGATGCCTATGTGTCCAACACTTCAGGCAGTCATTGACTGTAAAGGATTTGCAACCAAGTATTAAAACTGACTGTTTAATTGATGATTATGTTAGTTTGTCCAAATACTTATGAGCCCTTAAAGTCGGGGGACTGTGTGAAGAAATGGTTGTAATTCCTACACGGTTCATACTACATTTTTGAAAAAAGCCTTAAATGAAAGCTGAGAGTCTGCACTTTAAGCAGGTATTCATTGTTTCATTTAAAACCCATTGTGGTGGTGTACAGAGCCAAAATGACGACAACTGTATCATTGTCCAAATAATTATGGACCTGACTGTATATGATATTGGGAAAAAAATGCAACTGGATGTTGAATCTCCCCTTAATTTTAGTTATTTTTAAGGGTAGACTTTTTACACATACTTTCATCAACAAAATGGCTTCAAGTTTCAATTATTATAATGAAATGTTTGTTCAACCAACAATAACCCTTCAGTTTTCATTCCTTTAAGGACCATTCTGACTGATAATAATATAAACTCTATCAGTCTCATACTGTTGCAACCCTACAGCTAATAGTCAGTAACGTTTAAATATATATAAGGTTTGTGTCACACAGATGCGGCTGTTCCTCAAACAAACTGAGAAGTGGATCCTCTCTTTCCTCAATCGAAAACTGCCATTTTGCTGGTGGCTGGCTAGCTAGTAAGCTTAAAAAAGGGGCTTTTATTATTATTATTATTTTAAATCTTTTTTTTTTTAAAAGATTATTTTTATTGGCTTTTTTGCCTTTATTGACAGGACAGAGGGTGAAATGGGGAGACAGAGAGAGAGTGGGGACTGACATGCAGCAAAGGGCCACGAGCCGGATTCGAACCCCCAGCCGCTGCGGCGAGGCAGTGCCTCTATAC